CTTTCCCCCCGCAACCCGCCCCTTTGCCCCGGTCCGCCCAGGCCCCGCCCCCAGCCGCCGGCTCCGTTTACTGCACGGGCAGTTTCTTGCAAACCCGGAAGCAGATGTCTTGGAGTGAAGGCTGTTCCTCGCCGCGTGAGTTTCCTTCTATCTAGATTAAACCTGCGTTTCGGAGTCCCCTGCATTTCCCTGCACGATGTCCGGGGGTTCCTATAGCCCTTGAAGTCCCCGCACGGCTCCCTCCATGCCGAGTAAATTCAGACGTTGTCGCGAGACTCTGGGGGTCGCATCGCTTTGGGTTAAAATCACACAGGCTGGTCCTGCCCGCGGTATTTCGGCTTTCAGACCATGCAGACGCCTCCTTTCCTGCGCCGTTTCCTGCTTAAAACCCTTTGCTGACCTCTACCCCGGCGCTCCGGGAAGTCCTCATCCGCGAAGTGGGTGCAGGATTTTGCCGTCCCCTAACCTCGCCCTAGAGCGTCCCCTAACCTCGCCCTAGAGCCGTCCCCTAACCTCGCCCTAGAGCCGTCCCCTAACCTCGCCCTAACCTCGCTACTGGAGCGCAGGGCCGCAGCCCCAGTCCCGGGGAAGCTGCGTCCTCTGCCTGGTTCTGGGATCCTGCAGACCCCACCCCTCTCCTAAGGCGCCGTCGTCCCCCACCTCCCTCCTCCTCGTGCTGGGCCCTGCTGCTCCCCAGGCCTGCCCTTCGCAGTCACCGCTTCCCCTGAGCCCGCGTTGGGGAAGGTTCCTGGGGCTTGTCGTGTGACACCCGGTGTTCTTGCCTGCCCAACTCCACCCACTGGAAAATGTGCTGCTCCAGGATGCAGGCGTCTTACTCCAAACCCTCCCTGTAAATGTGTGGGCCAAGGGGATCAGGAGATAGAGAAAGGGGCTGAGAGAAAAGCAGAGAAACGGAGACAGAGGAAAGAATGGGGGAAACCAATAAACATGGCAAAGTAGAGGTTGGGTTGGGATTTGCAAAGAGACAGTAAGGGTGAAAGAAGTCGCTGAGAAAGTAACAGCATGGAGAAACAACTGGAGAAATGTAGAGAAAAGCTCGATGTCTAGAGAGATGAAGGACAGCAAGATAGGGATAGAAGAAGGAGCAAGATAGCTCCTCCGACAGAGAGTGGGGGAGAGAAGCAGGGATTTGGAGCCAGGACAGACAGCAGCGTGGTGCTGGGACAGCAAGAGGGGGCAGCCGGTGACAAGGAGAGCAGAGGGAGAACCACAGCAGGGGGAGACCTGGGATCTGGGGGTGCCAGAGAGTGGGGACAAGGAGGTGAGACAGGCAAGAGGGGATTTAACAGAGAGAGCAGAGATAAGGGAAGAAAGAGGAAAAAATATATGGAGATTGGGGACAACCAAAAGATTGGGGTGAAAGAGGAATAAGAAGTGAAACAGGTTGCAAGAATGGAGCAGAATAGGTGTAAGAGAAGGAATAGAGGGAAGGAGAAACAGCAGGAGAGGAGAAGGGCTCAAAATGAGGAGCAGCGACCCAGGCTGAAACACAGACAAGAAAAAAAGCCAGAGAGAGAAGAAGAGAATGAGAGATGTACAGAATGAGGGAGGAAACACACAGGAAGGAAGAAAGAGGGGGACTTTGGCCCAGATGCATGGTGGTTTCATTGGGTATGGATAATTACATCGTGACATATTGATTTCTGTGTCCATAATCTAACAATTTTTTTTTTCTTGAGACAGAGTCTCTATTGCCCAGGCTGGAGTGCAATGGCATGATCTCAGCTCACTGTAACTCCGCCTCCCGTGTTCAAGCAATTTTCGTGCCTCAGCCTCCCGAATAGCTGGGATTACAGGCATGCACCACCACACCTGGCTAACTTTTATAATTTTAGTAGAGATGGGGTTTCACTATGTTGACCAGGCTGGTCTCGAACTCCTGACCTCAGGTGATCCACCCACCTCAGCCTCCCAAAGTGCTGGGATTACAGGTGTGAGCTACTGTGCCCGGCCCCTAATAATCTAACACATTTTATATGTATATATTTTGTTTCTGTTGTGGAGATGCTGGTGAGAATTGCAAAAGTCCTGTCTGTGAGACATGTGCATTTTATAATTCCTGGCATCAGAGGTTAGCTTCTATTTGCAGTCTCTATTCTACCAGAGGGCAGTGACTTGACTCATTCAGTTGTCCGTCACTCTCTTTCCTTTTCCTGGAATGGGGTAATATGTAGGCAAGTGTATGAATGAGGAGGAAAAACTAAAGTGTTTTTCCTACCCTCATAGTCAGCTAATGAACACTAAACAAAGAATGCATCGCCTCTCATCACCAAAATGTGTGGGGTGGGGATTTCTCCCCACCAACACGCAATTCTTCAACAGACACTACCTGACTGTCCTATAATTTAATTCAATTCGGAACTATCTACCCAGAGTTAGCATTAGATCCCACTAGTTGAGGGTTCCCACTTCAGATGCCAGCCCCAAGTCCCAGATTCTGAGCTTCGGACCCATTGAGTATAAATTGGGGATTCTCCTTATCCCTTCCTGAGGTGCTATTAATTTGCCAAAGCAGCTTGTAGAACTCAGGGAAACATTTTCCTTGGTTTACCCCGTTGTTTTTTGTTTGTTTGTTTGTTTGTTTTTGAGATGGAGTCTTGCTCTGTCACCCAGGCTGGAGTGCAATGGCACGATCTCGGTTCACTGTAACCTCCGCTTCCCGGGCTCAGCAATTCTCCTGCCTCAGCCTCCCAGGTAGCTGGGATTGCAGGCATCCGCCACCATGCCTGGGTAATTTTTGTATTTTTAGTAGAGAAGGGGGTTCACCATGTTGGCCAGGCTAGTCTTGAACTCCTGATCTCAGGTAACCCACCCACCTTGGCCTCCCAAAGTGCTGGGATTACAGGCATGAGCTACCACGCCCAGCCTATGCAACTGTTATAAAGGATACTACAAATCATACAGATGAATGGTTTTAGCAAGTTAATTGAATCCAAAGAAGGGGTTAAGAGAATCACGGTATTTATCTGGTGAGAGTGTAGCCAAGAGTTACTACTAGCATATAGCACACTGAGATCTTCACCTGGGAGATCTGACTGTGTCAGAGTGGGGTGAAATTGTACGACCCCCCCACCCCCACCCCTGGGAGTCCACTGCAGAACTGGTCATTGTGGGAAAAACTACACACATTTCGGTGACTTCAGGTGAAGTATTCTGGGTTGAGTGTGGCAATAGTATGAAGAGTTTGATTTTTTCCTGTCTCAAACAGTAAAGGGAAGAGCTCTCCGACAGGCCCACCCACCTGTCTTAAGGCCTGCGATCTCAACTCAGTAGGTACTGGGAATGGACTGTCCCTGCTCCGGGCTGTTGCTGGTTCTTCAGTTGTGCACCACAGTCTCAGGACGGTGGCACTCCCTCCTCCACTGCATCAACTTTTACTTCAAGGGAATTATTTTGATGAGCATATCCAGATTAGTGGTCTTGTCTGTTCACACACACACACACACACACACACACACACACAGGCCCGTACCAACACACGTGACTAAATTTTGTACCTTTTTTAGAGATGGGGTTTTGCCATGTTGCCCAGGCTGGTCTCAAACTCCTGAGCTCAAGCATGAAGCAGTCCAGCCACCTGTGCCTCCCAAAATGCTGAGATTACAGGCAAGAGCCACTGCACCCAGCCTAAACATTCTTTGGAGGTGGGAAAAAAATTGTTTGAAGACCTCAGCCCTGCCTGACCTGCTCCCCTAGGACCTCTCTGACCTCATCTCCTGCCCGCGTCCTCCTCGCTCCCTCTGCTCCAGCCACTCAGGCCCCTTTCCTTTTCTGGGGTCCCCAAGTTGCTCCTGCCTCAGGGCCTTCACATGGGTGGTCCCTGTGCCTAGGACTCTGGCCCCTCAGCTGCAGGTGCAAGCACCCTTCCTAACCCAGGTCTTTGTTCTGATAGCACTTCCTCAATGGGGGTTTCTGTGACCCTCTCCCTGACCCCCGCTTCCGCATTCCATCCCCACCCCCACCCTCACCTCTGGTCCACATTGGCTGTTCTGCATGTTTCTCTGTGCTGCTTCACCTTCCAGTGTCTGGATCCTGGTGACAACAAGGCCCCCAGGGAGAGTAGAGCCAGAAGGTGGGGGGCTGTGCTGGGCTTGGCCCCTCTCAGTGGAGCTCAAGAACGCTGAGGCATTTTGCGAATACATCTCTTATGCCCCCTTAGCAGAGATTTCCATTCAAGTAAGTTGCAGCCCAGCTTCAATGACATTTAAGATTGGTTCTATTCTGTTATTCTGTATCTACTACTGAGCATCAGGGCACTGCTGCTCGTTTCTGAAGGCTGAGATCAGCCTGTGATCCACAGAGGGGAGCGGGGCTGTGCTTTGCATGGGGTTTGGTCAGGGCTGGGTCTGTGCCCTGAACGGAAGCTCGTTCCAGCCCAGCTCCCCACTGCTGCAGCCTGTGTGCGGGCCTCTCCAGGCGGGGAGCAGATTCTAAAGAAAGAGGTCAGAAACTCACTTGCTTTTCCTGTAGGAGTTTCTTAGCCCTGCATCTTTTCTGGTGCAGTGGGCGGCAGAGGACCATCTTTCCACAGGGTAAGGTCTTCCCTGTGTATGAGGTTATGGCACAGGAGGGGGTGTGTTGATTCTAACCAATAAACAGCATAGTTTTGACATTCAGGATTGAATTCTAAAGTCTCTTTCATGTTACCCAAGGCAGAACCCTGGAAGAAGAGGAAGAGGAAAGCAGAGGAGTCAGGGATGGCTCTTCCTCAGGTGAGATGATATTCTCGGTGGATTGTTCTGTCTCCTTCCTTTCAGAAACGCTGGGCCTTGGAGTTGGGAATCTTCTCTGAGTCTGAAGCGTCCTGCCTGACAGGTTTGCTCACCCTCACCCATGCCTTCCCTCAGTCCCTCTCGTTTCGCTTAGATTCCATCTCTCATGACCCAGTGACATGAACTTGGGAAGAGGTGGCACTGGGCATGGGCCTGGGAAGGGCTCACACCAGACATGGATGGAGAAGGGGTGAGGGCCCCGTGGTGTCAGTGCTGTTGGGCAACACAGATTGTTCAGGCCATATTTGAATATATTGCCAGCTCTGTGTAAATTCTGATAAGAGAAGCTGGTTATGAAGGCAGATGTTACTGTGTACAAGCACTCACGAAATGCTGTAAAATGAGACCACTGTGGGGAAAGCTTTGTAGCCTCATTTATATTACATTTGATGCTGAACAAGTGAGTCACTGTGTTTATCTGACTCCAAACTTCTTTTTTGTTTGTTTGTTTAGACAGAGTCTTGCTCTGTTGCCTAGGCTGGAGTGCAGTGACGCAATCTCAGCTCACTGCAACCTCTGCCTCCTAGATTCAAGTGATTCTCTTGCCATGGCCTCCCGAGTAGCTGGGACTACAGGCGTGCATCACCATGCCTGGCTATTATTTTGTATTTTTAATAGAGATGGGGTTTCACCATGTTGCCCAGGCCGGTCTCCAACTCGTGAGCTCAAGCGATGCACCTGCCTGGGCCTCCCAAAATGCTGGGATTACAGGCGTGAACCACTGCTCCCGGCCTTCATTACTTATATTCAACCAAGAGAGAAACTTATCCCTCAGCCAGCACCCTGAAAAGACAGAATATGGATGAATGTTTTCATACTTTTCCTCTCCCAGGAGAAATGGGAAATTGGTGTTTTTCTTGCAGTGACACTGCATCATGCCAGGGTAAGGCCGCTGTGAGCAGATGTCCTGTATTTTTCTACTAGACTTCTGTTAAGAGTTCCAACCTCTTAAATGGTTACTGGATTTCTCACAAAGGCAGTTGGTTCATATGTTGTTACTAAATTTGTGTCTCCATGGTGGAGGTAGTGTTTGGGAGTTCCTATTCCTCTATTTTATTGACATCATCACTTTAGTACAGTTTTATAATTTCTTTAAATAGGTGTGGAAATGTATTTTAATAGGTAGCATTGTATCATTCCTAATGTACTCCTGAGATGCGTTGTATGTTTAATGAGAGCTGCTAAAGAAAGAATGAAGATTGTTTTCACAGTGTTGTTATTAGTTCTTATACTTCAATGCGTTCTTTTCCTAGGTTGTGAGTATGTCATCTGTTAGTTTTAACAGGTCTAGCTCCTACTTTACCATTTTCTTGGTCTCAGCTCAGGCATGCTCTGAAGTGGGCTTTAGCTGGAGCCCTGGTGAGCCCTATTTTCTCCTTTTTTTTTTTCTGATACAAGGTCCGGCCCCGTCGCCCAGTCTGGAGTGCAGTGGTGCAATCTCGGCTCACGGCAGCCTGCACCACCTGGGCTCAAGCCAACCTCCTACCTCAGCCTCTCAAGTAGCTGGGACTACACGTGCATGCCACCACACCCAGCTAATTTTTATATTTTTTGTAAAGATGGGGGTCTCGCTGTTTTGCCCAGGATCATCTTGAATTCCTGAGCTCAAGCAATCCACCCGCCTTGGCCTCCCAAAGTGTTAGGATTACAGGCATGAGCCATCGCGCCCAGCCCATTTTCTCCATTTTAATTTAGAGCAAATGCATCCAGCATTTACTGCTTGATTATGTGTTTGGTGAAATTTTCTTGTTTAATATTAGCTTTTGGGTGTTTTTCAAATTTCCTTTTTGAACCAATTTTTAATTATCCAATAATTTCTTTGAGTAAATATTGTTGCAATATATACTTCTTAAGTCTATTAAATTAATGTATGATATTAAAAAATGTCCTAACCTTATGTTATGATTTCATGAGTAAAATAAACTAAAACCTCCATTGGACTTTTGTTAATGCCTAAATATCTAAATTTAACTGGAAAAAATGGTATCTGTATTTTTAATAATTGTATTTAATACCAATTGGAGTATAAGTTCTTACATATTTTTGTTTTAGCATTTTTACAGCTTAACTTACAAAAATGTTTATAAACTAAATTAAGTACAATTCATGCATTTTAATTGTCCCAGACTTTCTGAAATGCACATGAGCAAAAAAGACAACTAAAGATATCATCAAAAACAAATACATCATTGAGACACATCTCTTTATTTCACTTAATTTAACTGGTATGTGTGACGTGCGCACATGACTATGTAGATGCATATGTCCATGGTTTTATAAAAGACATACCATGATTTAAATAAATTGTATGTGTTTTATCATTTGAAATCATATTTTAAATATTTTTATGGCCTGAAATTTGTTCTCTGCTGCCTTTTTTTTTTTTTTTTTTTTTTGAGATGGAGTTTCACTCTTTCACCCAGGCTGGAGTGAAGGAGCACAATCTTGGCTCACTGCAACTTCCCCCTCCTAGGTTCAAGCAATTCTCCTGCCTCAGCCTCCCAAGTACCTGGGATTACAGGTGTCCGCCACCACACCTGGCTAATTTTTGTATTTTTAGTAGAGATGGGGTTTTCCATGTTGGCCAGGCTGGTCTTGAACTCCTGACCTCAGGTGATCCATCTGACTCGGCCTCCCAAAGTGCTGGGATTACAAGTGTGAGCCACCGCGCCCGGCCTGTTCTCCACTATCTATTAATGAACTAATAGGATAGTAACATATGGGCATAAATGCGTTTGTGTATATAATGACCTTTGGTGAAGTTCCATATTGTTAGCCTTGAACTTGTTTCAGTTTTTCTGTTAGGTGACCTCGTGTCAATTTACTTTTGGAGTGTTTAGTTAAAACAACTCAAACACCATTTCCCCTCTGCTCTCACACCAACACCACAATCCACACAGAAGACTTCTGTGGCCACATGTGAGGGATTTCTCCCCACCAACAAACAGCGAGCAACCAACTGGCCGTCCTCCAGTTCAGTTCCAACACTGTCTGCATGAAGATAGTGTCACGCCTCCCAGATTGATGGCTCAGTTCCCAATTGCACGTCCAGGCCTCTGAAACTTCTGACCGACCAGCCTCAAGTTGAGGTTCCCATGAACCCTTCTTTAATTTGCTGGAGCAACTCTTAGAGGTCAGAGAAACACTCAGTTTTACAGGTTGATTATAAATACTATTACAGAAGATGCCAGTGAAGAGATGCATAAGGTGAGGTATGGGGAAAGGGGTGCAGAGCTTCCCTGCCCTCCCTGGGTATGCCGTCCTCCAGGAACCTCCACGTGTCAGCCATCTGGAAGCTCCCCAAACCCACTGCACTCCAGCCTGGGTGACAAAGCAAAACTCCGTCTCCAAAAAAACAACAAAAAAAGAAATTTACATATTTCTACAAAACTCATAGCCACTTTTATCTTTATTTTCTCTTTTGATTCTACCCAAATTTCCAGTGACAAAGTCCCGAATTCAGTGCTGAAATTAGGCTTTTACATGTGCTTTCTTCTATAAGTGTGACGTTGTAATAAAAGAAGTGGTTTGTTGTCCTTGATAATCTCATTTGGCTCCTGTGTAGTTCTTTGAGATAATTCCCTTGCCAGCTGGTTGTTTTACAAATGTGTGCAAACTACATTATACTACTTTATGCAAACTACATTATACTACTTTATGCAAACTATATTATACTACTCTATGCAAACTACATTATACTACTTTATGCAAAGAGACAGACACTACTTTTTACTATATCTTTCTAGGACTTTTTATTCTGTTTTCAGTTTAAATTTGCTTACCCCTGAGATTTTAAAGTCTCTTTCTTCATAAAACACTATTTGAACTGGAATATATTAACACATTCTGTGGCCAGTTTTGCTCGACATTATTTTACCCTTCATTCTCTAACATTCTCTCATTTCTTGTACTTCTTTATTTATTTGTATTTGTTTATTTTTCCTTTTATTATTATTTTTACTTTTTTGTAGAAACAAGGTCTTGCCATGTTGCCCAGGCTAGTCTCAAACTCCTGGGTTCAAACGATCTGCCTGCCTTGGCCTCCCAAAGTGCTGGGACTACAGGCATGAACCACCATGCCCGGCCAACTTCTTTATTTTTTAAACCTCATTTTCACAGTAGTTGAGAGGATTTCAGCCACAGTGTAGCATCTTAAAGACTGGGAAAATTCTTTCCTAGCCAGTTTAATGACCAAGAAACTATTCAGACCAATCTACATGTCAGTCATTCACAGTAGAATGGTAAACTAAAGAGCTGTGGGCAGCTGCTGATACATGTTGCACAAAAGGATGTTGGGAATCTCTTAGACATTGGTACCCGTTACTCGGGTACTCGGCCTCTCATTATATAAATGAATTCTTCCAAAATGACTTCCCTTTCAGAACCTTGGACAGATATATTGACTCCTTTGTGCTGATCTCAAGACACTGAGATTCTAAAATGAAAACTCTGAAGGCGCTTGACTATGTAGCCTTCCTTAATGCTTTAGGATTCCAAACCACCTACTTACCCTCTTTGGAAGATTATTCAGGGCTTTGTGAGCTGCTCTTTCAGGTAGCTTGCCTGTTGCTTAACTGATTGCTTAGGTTTAATTTTAATTCCCAGATACCTGGGTATAGGTACTTGCTCTGTCATTTTTAGCTCTTTGACCTGAGACAAGTTTCTCGGTGTGTCTGTGAAACAGCTGTCCCCACAGTAAAATGGGAGCAGATCTTTCTCTCATGGGCTACAGTGTTGTACGTGTTAGTACACGTAAAGGATTTAAAATGCTACCTCGCATACGGACCTTGTTCTTAAATCCCTATCATTGCTATTGCTCTCATCATAGTTTTAAAACTCTGACTTGTTTTTTCTTCAAAGCCACTGTGGATGTTGTCATCCTTGAAGACACCACTCATTCTCTAGGTCATCTAGATGCTGAATATTACTTGATGTATCAGACATAATATCTATCTAAAGCTGGTAGAGATGAACTTGTGCTGGGCTTTTTTCTTTTGTTTTGCTTGTCCCCCTGTTGCCCGGGCTGGAGTGCAGTGGCACCATCTTGGCTCACTGCCACCTCTGCCTCCCAGGTTCAAGCAATTTCCGGCTAATTTTTGTATTTTTCGTAGAGACAGGGTTTCACCATGTTGGCCAGGTTGGTCTCGAACTTCTGACCTCAAGTGATTCCCCCACCTTGGCC